GATTTTGACCAAACTTGGCACATACATTGTACTATGTAAGAGATAGGTTCTTAGCGTAAAAATATCGATAATTTAAAAAAAATCAGTCATCGATAAAGCCGATAAAAATCGTTAAATTCAACTTTTTCCCTTCGATTTCGTTCAAACTCGGTATGTAGGTTACTCATCTTATGACGTGCTCAACGATACCTCATTTTTATTTCTACACCACTGCGTTTAGCGAAGAACTGCGAAAAACAAAAACTCGATTTCAGCACAAATCGATATCAACACAAATTTTAAACTAAAAACTCCCTCAATTTTCCAGCAATCTAATACAAACTTCACTCAATTGTAACCAACAATAAGTTGATTGTTTAACAGTCATTTAATTTGATAATTGAGTCCACCCATATAGTGAAAACCCGCGTAAATAGCAAAAAATGGCGATTTTTACTGGTTTCTTTCTTACTTTTTGTTGATCTTCCAACCAATTTTCATCAAACTTAACAATTGCTTTATAAATGCATCTTTTACATCCCTGGGGACACACTGACATTGAATTTTAAAAACTCCAAAATAATTGTGGTCTGAAGTGGGACTTCATGTTACTTGTTTTACCTGAAGAAGGTCACGAGACCGGAAACTCGTGTATCAAAAATATAAAGAATAAAAATAATATGCACGAATCCACATTAGAACCAAAAATGTTTGCGGTTTCTCTCTTTTTAAAAAATATACATTTTTCTCTTGTTGAAACAACTACAACATTTTCCCTATATATATATATATATATATATATATATATATATATATATATATATAATAATTAAATAGGGTAAATATTATTTACGGATTTAAATGTCAATTATGGAGTTTTATTCCAGATCAATCAAAATTCGTAAATAATTATATAGGCTACACTACAACATGTTTGACACGCAGACTCACTCTACACCTTTCTGACCATAGCTCAATTACATCCCATTTAAATATTAATGGAGACCTACCGGACATTATTCGTAACATACTTGTTGACAACACTAATATAATAGCATCATCTACATCCCAAAAGGCTAAAAATAATGGAAGACTTATTAATAAAAACAAAAAAAACAACATTTAATAATATTAACTTTGAACATGGACATAATATCTTGACCGCGTTTTAAAAAATGGAAACATTTTATAAAACATACATGCAACAAAATATTTCTTATTTAACAGTTAAAATATTTACTCCTTGAAAATTGCTAAATGTATAGCCGAAAGCGCTCAGATAAAAAGTACATTCGGAAAGTTTTTATATAATTTATCATCTGAAAAGAAAAAATTATTAGATCGCATGAGAAATTCTATAAGAAAAAACTAAATAAAAGCACCTTATCTATCGTATTCAATGAAATGTGCATGAAAGAAAGATTGCTGCCTAAATACAAAAATTATATACATACATACATACATATATATATATATATATATATATATATATATTAAGACATTTTTATGTTTATACATTCTTTTTATAGATACAAATATTTAAGTAAATGCTCTGTTTATAATAAACAGTATTAAACAACATTTACCGGCTTGAATGTCCGAGTAATTTTCATAGAAAATATTCGTCCTCCGAAAAGAAACGAACCTGTATCCTATACGGAACCATCATATAGCCTGACGTGCCTTTAGCTGATTCGGCCACAGAGGAGCGTTCGGTTAGTGGGTCGATTTTACTGCCTTTAAACTACAATCTTCCATGATTCTCTCACACACCTGACATATCTGCTCAATGGCGTATCAAATGTAAACAAATGACGTCACACATTGTGAAATGGACAAAGTCCGACAATTATTTTAAACATTTTTATGTTTATACATTCTTTTCATAGATAAAACTGTCTTAAAATAATTGTCCGACTTTTTCCATTTCATTATATATATATATATATATATATATATATATACATAATTATTTATTTAAAAATATGATTCCAACTCGCGAAATAAGAGGTCTCATGTTTCAAAACAAGAGCCGAAAACTTCAATATAATTATTTGAATTAAATTTAATTAAAGTAAGCTCTGTTCCATCTTCAAGCCAAATTTTTTTGGAATAACTTATTTCTGAAATTTATGTGTTTTAATAGTATATACATAATTGAAATCAAAATTTCCATGGTAACAGCCAGGGCGAATTGTTTAAAATAGGTAGGGGTGTGTTGGGTGTTAATAATACGTATCAGTATAGAGTTACTTTCATAGATGTCAAGTCAGGGTAAGGTGGGGGTGTCTAAATTTGAAACGGAAGATGTTTTCGCCTAGTCTGGTTTACGTGTCTATGGAGATTTTTTTTTTTATTTTATTTCTTTATTAAAGGGATTTATGCATATAAAAACTGCCGTAACATTTGTTTTTAGACTACTTCATAAAGGGTTATCTTTTTTTGTAGGGTATTTAAACTATTTATTTGGGCTATGGATTATAAAAGTTATTATAGTGTATGCTTGTTTTTAGCTAATTATTCAGTGCATAAATTTGATGATATCGGCAAAAAACAGTTAACTCATGTCTATTGTTTAATAGATTTTTATTATTTAGAAACTTAATAATGTGCAGTTTCTCATGGAGGCACAATAAATATATATATATATATATATATAACATAAAGAATAATTAGGAAACGTTTTTCATTCTAATATCCTAATCTCAGAGAAAGAGATATGGGGAAAAGAGGTTTGAAATTCTGTTGTCTGTATTTTTGTGTTTTTATATTTTATATTGGTTATTCAGGTTTCACTTGTATTCGATTTGTTGAGTCAGCGTTAGTGTAATTTGTGGCGGTTTGAATTCAAGGAGAGAAGACGAGCCCTTTGGAAGTCCTAGGAAATTAACGGATTCTAAGCCTATCTGAAAAAACATTAAATATTGCTTTTTGTATGTAAGTATAAAATAATTCTAGATTGTCTATGTGGGATTCAAATGATAATGGATGGCCGTAAGTGTGAATACACTCACATGAATATGGGTATTAAAATATGCAAGAACGAACGGCTCCACTTTAAATTTAATTTAAATTTTACAACGGTCAATTTTCAATCAGAACCTGATGATTGCTACGTACATGAAACTCAGGCAAAACGGCGAGGAAAACATATTTGTTATTAATATATATATATATATATATATATATATATATATATATATATATAGTTTATGCAAAACTAGGTAATCCGTATGGGTAGACCCAATGAGGATGATATCCAGAGAGCTCAATGTAAATTCAGAGCAAATAAATTTGAATAAAAACAGACCACTTTAAGTTCCATGTAATAAATTATTTCACCAAAGCCCTTTTAAAAGGACTGTGGATCATCAGACTTTACTTCCAAAAGTTGAAAGGAAAAAATTTTCATTTCAACTTTTGGAAGTAAAGTCTGATGATCCAGAGGCCTTTAAAAGGGCTGTGGTGAAATAATTTATTACATGGAACCTTAAATTAAAATTCAAATATATATATATATATATATATATATATATATATATATATATATATATATATATATACGGCGTTTATTTTTTCAGATATTTTACTTTTTTTAACTTCTGAAACACTTTTATTTTTACCTTATTTCATCATAATATTACATATATAGAATACATACATATATATATATATATATTTTGCCTTATATATTATTTTTACCTTATTTCATCATAATATACATATATAGAATACACACACACACACACACACATATATATATATATTTATCTTATATATTATTTTTACCTTATTTCATTATAATATTACATATATAGAATATCTATATAGAATACAATGTTACTTCTTTGAGACAAAGATAAATTACTTGCGAACACGGAAATATATACTATTTACATTATTCGGACTATTGTCCTCATCTTCGTCGTCATATTTATTACAACGTTTCGGTCGTTGTACGCTTCTTCAGGTGGTTGGAATGTCGAACAGAACCCTTTATTTCGCTCACTGGAGTAGACTGTTCTAGTTCCACGTGCCGTGTTTAATGAATGTCAGTTATCAGTTATCTCCTGTTAATTCTCCTCTCCAAGTTCTCCACTGCCTTAACCAGGTATTGAACTCACACTCTTTGGATCCCTCAAGGACACATGGCACAGTGGATAAAGGCGTTGGTTAGATCCAGTGACAGGACCCAAAGAGTGTGAGTTTAATACCCGGTTAAGGCAGTGGAGAACTTACAGAGTTTGTGTGTGTGTTTAAATGAATTCTAGTAGAGCTATTGTCAGATAGGTGTAAAGTAAGTCGTCTAGATAGGGATGTGGTTGTGTGACCGATGTAATTATTTATGAATTCGATTTTATCAGGAACACAGTTCTTTAAGGGCCATTTAAACTCATAGATCTATTAGAACTCATTAGAACAAGTCCCTGTTCATATCTATCTATCTATCTATCTATCTATCTATCTATCTATCTATCTATCTATCTATCTATCTATCTGTTGTGGCATTGTTAGGGGCAGAAAATAAAGATTCAAGAGAGTAATTGAGTTAAATATATTAACAGAAACAGTAATACAAACATATACAAACGAGAGTGTTACATCAAGAAGGTTCGACTGTCAGAGCTGACTGCTGGAAACTTCACAGTCTAAAAGGCAGTACCTGCTCCTATTTATAGCTTGGAGAATCTCTCTGTTCATATCAAAGTTTCTGTTCATATCTATCTATCTATCTATCTATCTATCTATCTATGTCTCTGTCCAAATCTATCTATGTCTCTGGTCACATCTATCTATCTATCTATCTATCTATCTATCTATCTATCTATCTATCTATCTAAGTCTTTGTTCATATCTATCTATCTATCTATCTATCTATCTATCTATCTATCTATCTATCAAAGTCTTTGTTCATATCTATGTATCTATGTCGCCGTTCATATCTATCAATGTCTTTGTACATATCTATCTATCTAACTATCTATCTATCTGAGTCTTTCTTCATATCTATCTATGGATCTATGTCGCCGTTCGTATCTATCTGTCTATATCTTTGTACATATCTATCTATCTATCTATCTATCTATCTATCTATCTATCTATCTCAGTCTCAGTTCATTATCTATCACTGTATCTCTCTCTCTTTCTATCTATATATATATATATATATATATATATATATATATATATATATGCATCTTTTATGGTATTTTGTAGAATGAAAACACTTGAATATATAGATATTCAAATGTTCATGCGCATCTATGTCTGTGTGTCTGTCTGTGTGTACACCGATTTACACACAGAAATAACTCCACTAGGCAAGCAATTAAAAATTCAAAATAAGTTGTACGTCGACATAGACTGACGCCAAATGGCAGTATTTCCATTGAAACTTTTTGTCTTCCCCAAATGTCAAGCATCGGCGCCATTTTGTCTAACACTATAAAAACAAGGATGAGTTTTTCCCAAGTGATCTTCAGGAATGAAAGCAAGTTTGTCTTGTTTAGCGCTCCTAAAAGTGTGTCCAATAAAATCCGATTAAAGACTAGATTATTTCTTTTTGACTCTAAAAGATGATAGGGAAGGTATTGCAATGTGGAGATCTTTATGAATGATGTGCGTCTATGGCTAATTACAAGTAATCATTTATTTTTAGATAATTCTAGGATATTCTATGTTAGGTGTCTAGATCGTTGCTCAACCACCATCTCGATGGAAATATCTTCCAGTACAATATCCTTGAACGTTTACTTAATTTTAATGGTGATATTAGCCGTTTCCTTATAAGGAAACATTCCGCATTCCTTGACGGAATAGCTAGTGCTTTTAGTTGAAATTGATTAAATCTGTCTTTAAGCAATTTTTTTTTTTAGGAAAATCAGTTTCTCAAGTCTACTATCTGTTATCGCATTTCTAGTATTGATTAGGGGTTGCCTTCCTAACCTTTTGTTCGAAGTGGTGCGGAACGTCAGCATCTTGATTGTTCTTTCTTATGATTGTTTGATTCGTTTTTTACGGCTTATCAACCTTTTACGGGTTATTTAAAGCCAGAAAAATATTTTTAGCTTGTAAAACAGTTTTGTTTTGGAAGTAAAAATGAATTAGGGATATAATTTTTATTAATTAGCTCATAGCTGTTTGGAGGGCGATAAGATTTGGATTCAAAATCAGAATTTGATGAAAAAAAAAATGAAATTATCTTGTGGGTACAAAGTGGGGGATTCATTCTATATTACAATCAATATATAAATTGATCCCCCACTTTGAAGCTGCCGTAGTTTCTATACATTTATATATTCCGGAGAATGTAACTAAATCTAAAAGACATGCCTACAATAAATTAAAACGTGGCTATAAACTGGGGGATCAATTTTATATTGCTATCAACATATAGACTGATCCCTCACTTTTTGGCCTTCGTAGTTCCTATACATTTATATTCCGGAGAATGTAAATAAATCTAAAAGACATGCCTACAATAAATTATAATGTGGCTATAAAAAGGGGGATCAATTTTAAATTACTAACAATATATGAACTGATCCCTCACTTTTGGCGTCCGTAGTTTCTATACATTTTTATCCCGGAGAATGTAAATAAATCTAAAAGACATGCCTGTGTAGCTAATCAGTATTTTATTGACTGATTGATTCGTTGTCTACGGTTTATCAACTATTAAAATATCCTCTGACTTTAAATAACCTTTCCTTTAAATTTATTTACATTCTCTGAAATATAAATGCATAGAAACGTCCGTGGCCACAAATTGAGGGATCCGTTTATATATTGTTTGTAACGTAGAATTGATCCCCACTTTATATCCCATTATATATTCTTGTTTGTTTATCAAATTCTGATTGGGTATGAGTTCAACTCTTCTCTCCCAAGCTATGGGTTAATTAGTAAGACGTGTATCAGAGAATCATTATTACCACGCCCCCACCCCTCGCCCGCAAAAAAGAAGAAATTTCTTGTAATCTAAAAATATGTTCTGGCTTTAAATAACCTGCAAAGGGTTGATAAACAGCAGAAAACGAATCCTCCACGCACTTAAAACCTCCTCGTCGCTGACATTTTCTGATCATACGATACTTTTGATTCTACATTGATACAAAGAAGTGTTCGGTCGAAAACAATATTGGAAAATATATACTTCATTTAACTTTGAAAAAAATTAAAAAATGGCTGTATTTATTTTTCGGCGGAATTAGAAAACAAAAACAAAAACAAAAAACAAAAAAACAAAAAACAAAATGGACGGCGTTAAACGGATGAAAAAGAGGCTTCCAATTTCCAATGATTGAGTGCTTTTAATTTTGCATGTAATATGACGTCAGTCTACGAGCGAGAAGAAAGGCGAAAAAGGATTTTTTTTGTTTGGGGGGGGTCGTTTTTTGGGGTATTTTTTTAAAAAATATTTTTCTGACTGTCTTCGTTTGATTTTATTTCTTTTTTTATTTGAATTTCTTTTACATTTTCTTCAAATTCTTTTTTCGTTTTTTTTTTAATGATTTTTCTTTTCTTCCCCCGATTACCATTTTTTTCTTCCTTTTTGGTTAACAGTCTTTTCTTGGCATCTTCTTTGCCCTTTCTTTCTTTACTTGCACATCTTCCACTTCTTCTTCTTCTTCTTCTTCTTCTTCTTCTTCTTCTTCTTCTTCTTCGTCGTCGTCGTCGTCGTCGTCGTTACTTTTTCTTCTTCTCATTATGTTTCGACTATTTCCCTCGTCATCAACATCATCACCGTCATCATCATCATCAACATCATCATCACACTTCTGCTTCTTTTCTTTCATTTTCTCTTTCTCCTTTACCTAGCATTTTCATCTTCTTCCAAATTTTTCTCAACTCAGAACCCGCTTCTTCTCATTATTTCTCTACTTACCTTTCCTCCACCATCATCACAATTATCAACTTATCTTCTTCTTCTTCTTTTTCTTCTTCTTCTTCTTCTTCTTCTTCTTCTTCTTTTTTCGTCTTTTTTTCTTCTTCTTCTCTTTATTCTTCTTCTTCTCGTCTTCAACTTTTCTTCCTCTTCTTCTTCTTCTTCTTCTTCTTTTTCTTCTTCTTCTCTTTATTCTTCTTCTTCTCGTTTTCTCTTTTTCTTCCTCTTCTTTTTTCTTCTTCTTCTTCTTCTTTTCCTTCTTCTTGTTTGTCATCCTCTGCTCTTCCCTTCTTTATCTCTTCCCCACTATGTTTGCCCTTATTCGTTTTTCCCTCCCCTTTGCTTGCTTACTTTTCCATCATCCCATATTGTTCTTACAACTTCTACATCCATTCGCCTCTTTCCTCCACCTTCTCTTCTTCCTTCCTTTCTTTCTTTCTTTCTTTCTTTCTTTCTTTCTTTCTTTCTTTCTTCTTCTTCATTGCTTATTTTGCATCTTTGCCCTTTCCTTCTACTCTACACTATTTGCGAGTCCTTTTTCTTTCTTTTTTTACGCCTTCATCTTAAACTTTAGCCTCGCTTTAGAAACAGAACGGAAGCTAGGAATGTAACCCCGCGAGGTTTACGTGGATTTCAAAATCCTTCGTCATATGCGGTCAGTCTTGTTTGGCAGGCTGAAGGCAACTACGTTTACAGTAAAATGATTTCCGTCATTTTGTCTTCTGGAAGAGACAAAAAAAAAAAAAAATAACAACGACAACAAGCAGTAAAAAATAACAGAAAGGAAAAGACATTCTAACCTTTTGTTGAGCGACTTGTCAAAAGTGACAGCCGGCAAGGGTTGGGAGAATTTTAATGAACGAAAGACATTCAAAGGAAAATAAACATCGGAATGAAAGAAGACTAGAATGGTTCAAAAAACGAAACCTATTTAGAAGTAGTTTATTCAGATTCATATATATCAGAAAACAGACATCTATATATATATATATATATATATATATATATATAATCATATATATAAATATATAAAACCTCATATATATATATATATATATATATATATATATATATATATATATATATATGTATAAAAATCATATATATAAAACCACACATATATATACATATAATCATATATATATATATATATATATATATATATATATATATATATATATATATATATATAAATATATATATATATATATATAACATCATATATAAAACTCATATATATATAACCTCATATATATAAGTATATAAACATATATATATATATATATATATAACTACACACACACATATATATATAAGCTCATATATATATATATAAACTCATATATATATAACATCATATATATATAAACTCATATATATACGTATATAGATATACATATAACCTCCTATATATATAATTCCTCATATATATATGTATATTATATAAATATATCAAACATTATATATATAAACTACATATATAACCTATATATATATAAACTCAAATATATATGTAACATCATATATATATACATGTATATATATATATAACCTCATATATATATATATATCATATATATATATATACATATATATATATAAAACTACATATATATAATCATCATATATATATTAACTCATATATATATATATACATATATAGATCTATATAACCTTATATATATATATATATATATATATATATATATATATATACACACCTATTACACACTATACACAGAGGAAATAATGATAGAAATATTGTTTATTCGTATCAGTCTGACAAGACAATCCTGTGATTTGTTTGATAGTCCTACAAGGGAAAATTACGAATGGAAAAACAATTATCATTCAAATCACCCCCTAAAAGAATATTATTATTACTAGTACTAGTAGTACTAGTAGCAGCAGTAGTAGAAGTAGTAGTAGTATTCTATGTGCCGTGTCCCTTCAGGATATGGGTGATCATAGCTCTCCACCACTTCCTGTTCTTTGTAGATCTAAAGATTTGTCTTTTTGTTATCTCTTCCAGATGGTGTTGTGCCATTCATTTTTTTTATAAAAGTTCGCCCTTTGCTTCAATTTTACGGGCGCATCCCATCGAGACACTGGTTCTCTTACGATTCAACGAAGTTAAGCAACGTCAAGCCTGGTTAGTACCTAGATGGGTAACAACTTAGAAATACAATGAGCAATTATCTTATTCGTGCGGATGCTATAATGCGTAATTGCTAATCAGAGAGCCGAGTTCAATTCCACTTGGGTTCATTTTGTTTTCTTACGCGCAAATAGCATTCTCCTCCCAGCTATGGGTTAAATAGTAAGACTTGTGTCATTAAATTATTATTATCTCAAAATTTAAAAAAAAAAATCTTATAAGCCAAAATTATTTTCTGGTTTTAAACAAAATGAAATCCGTAAAAATAAATCAGTTAATGAATTTTCTTCTTCTCTGAAACGTGTTCATTTCGTTGGAGATCATGGCTCTCCACAACTTTCTATCTTTTGTAACTTTAAAATTTGTCTTTTCTTTATCTCTATTGATCCCTGTTGCGTCAATAATTTATGCAAACTCATTCTTATTCTTCTATGGTGATCATTCAAGGCGTATACGATTATGGCCCTCCCAAACATTCTATCTTTTATATCTCTAAAATTTGCCTTTTCTTTATCTTTACTAATCCTTGTTGTGCCAACAATTGATACAAACTCATAGTTCTTCTTGTATGGTGATCATTCAGGACGTATACGATCATGGCCCTCGACAACTTTCAATCCTTTTGTAAGTCTGAGTAAGTTATGTCCTTTCGTCAACTCTACCAATCCTTGTTAGGCCATCCATTTACACAAGCTGTTTCGTGATGAAAACATCCGCTTTTTGCCATGATACTTGTGGTTGAAAGGCAGACATGGACGATTTGTTCGGGTTTGTTCGGGAGACAACCTTGATGATACCGGCCTGGAGAATTGACCCCGAAGTTGATTGAAAGCCTTACATCGAGCTGACCCGAGCCTTGTGCGTGAAATTGTGCAGCCGGAACTATTCCGGAGCCGTCTATGTTTATGCTAGCACAAACTCGTAAGTCATCGTGACCGAGGGTTTGGGCGTTCAAACCGTTCAAGCGCGCTCTCTCTCCCACAAAACAGCAAGATCCGTAGATAGAGAGACAGATAGATAGATAGATAGATAGATAGATAGATAGATAGATAGATAGATATGAATAGAGACTAGGATAGATAGATAGATAGATAGATAGATAGATATGAATAGAGACTAGGATAGATAGATAGATAGATAGATAGATAGATAGATAGAATGATTGAGAGACTTCTTCTCTGTCGCCATGAATTCGATATTATTAAATTGGACGAGTTTTATGACATGAAGCTTTGTTACAATATTTTTTATTCTAGTTTGTTGATTCATATTAAATTAATGTCGTTTTTTTTATATTCTCAAACAAGTAATACATTATACGGCAACATAATTAACTTTCCATGACATTTGCTGGTTCTGTTGGGTAATTCGACGTGGTGTAGTGATCCTCACAGGGTGCATTGTACCGCATCAAATCTACGTTTAAAAAAAAATCTTTTCAAGGCATTTCGACGTGATGCAAGGGTTACTGAGCTTTTCTTGCAAGATCAATTATGATTGCTCACAATTACGATTGGTTCCTCGCTGAGTGCTCTATACATTCGGCCTTGTGCCAAATCTAAGCTTAGAAGATTATCTGAGGAGATTTGACGCGTTGTAATGGTTAGCAAAGGATAGCGGCTCGGATTGATGAATCGTAGAGCCGAGTTCGAATTCCGGTCGAATCCATTATATTCATTTACGTGCTAATACCCTTGGGAAAGGTGTGAATCCTCCTCTTCCCACCAGCTATGGGTAAATAGCAGGACACACCAGGTTCTATAGCCTTGGATAGTAACTGGTCTACTGAAGAAAGAAGTTGCAACCTACTACGGGAAAAAATCTAGAGTGAGATTTACGAGTGAGTAGTGAGTTCGATACCCACAAGGGGCTCTATATATTCGGCCTTGTGCCACGACTACGCTACGCGTAGAAGGTTATTTTAGCGCACTTTGACTTAGTCTCATCATTTGATATACTTGGCTGGGAGCCTCTATGCGTTTAACTTGCACAAATTTGGATTTAAACAATCTAAGAATCTGATTCTACAATATATATATATATATATATATATATATATATATACATGTGTGTGTGTGTACAAAATATATATAACACCACTGTTCACTATAGCATCCAATAAAAAGACAGACTGAAAACCATAAAAGATATTATTATTGAAATTAACCAACCAACGTTAAAGAAGACCTTGAGCTCTCCACCCCTCCGTCTTTTCTTTATAAGTTGTTTTTGTTCTTCTACAAAGTTTAAAGTACTGAGAAATATTTTGTTATATATAAGAAGCTAAATAATTTTTTTACGAAAAGCTGTTTTTAATTTGACAAAAAACACAGAAAACAAAATAAAAGAAGACAAAGAAAGAATACATTGCGAGTACAACTAAAATCGAGCCAATAAATATATACTCCCTCCGAAAACACCTCACTCTCTCTCTCTCTCTCTCTCTCTCTCTCTCTCTCTCTCTATCTATCTATCTATCTCTTCCTCTCTATCTCTTCCTCTCTCTCTATCTCACACTTCCTCTCTATCTCTCTATCTCTTCTTCTTTATCTCTTCCTCTCTCTTCCTCTCTCTCTTCCTCTCTATCTCTCTTTCTCTTTTTGTCTATCTCTTCCTCTCTCTCTCTCTTCCTCTCTCTCTTCCTCTCTCTATCTCTTTATCTCTCTCTGTCTCTATCTCTTCCTCTCTCTCTCTTCCTATCTCTCTCTTCCTCTCTCTCTCTTCCTCTCTCTATCTCTCTTTCTTTCTCTATCTCTCCTCCTCTCTCTATCTCTTCCACTCTATCTCTTCCTCTCTCTCTCTCTTCCTCTCTATTTCTTCCTCTCTCTTTATCTCTTCCTCTCTATCTCTTCCTCTCCATCTCTTCCTCTCTCTCTCTTCCTCTGTATCTTTTCTTCTATATCTCTTCCTCTCTTGCTATCTAGCTCTCTTTATCTCTTCCTCTCTCTCTCTCTTCCTCTCTATCTCTTCCTCTTTCTCTTTCTCTTCCTCTCTATTTCTTCCTCTATCTCTCTCTCTTCCTCTCTATCTCTTCCTCTCTCTCTCTATCTCTCTCTTCCTCTCTCTCTCTCTATCTCTTCCTCTCTATCTCTCTTCTTCTCTATCTCTTTCTCTCTCTCTTCCTCTCTATCTCTCTCTCTCTCTCTCTCTCTCTCTCTCTTCTCTCTCTTTCTCTCTATCTCTCTATTTCTTCCCCTCTCTCTCTCCCCCTCCCTCACTTTCCCTCCATTGTCATTCATAATTGCAATTTCATATTCAAGTCTTTCAAACCATGTCGTCTCTTTCGGTGAGCAATTGCTAAAGTTACCGGAACTTACGTGAGGTATGCCGGGATATGGTGTCACCGGCTGTCAAGTCCGTTCCTGTAATTATGTCACGTGATAGAGATGCTAATGCCCTTGTAGTGGAC